CACCGAATCCTTTTGGTGAAAAATATTTCGGTAAGAAAGAAGAAAAACAAAGTTCAGATTTAAATATTTTAATTTCTCTTTTTTTTTACGATACTGATTAAACAAAAAGGATTGATTTATTTCTAAATGGATTCTTATTTTACAAATTGAACAAATCAAAATGATAATCATTCATGCATTGATCAAACATTTTTACCATATAATCTTATTGAACAATATCTTAGAAAAGATCTTTCAAATAAAATATTAGACACAGCTTTATATGGTCAAGTAAAGAAAGGTATATTTCTTGAATGTGTTTTTGAAATGATTATCGAATTTAATTTTATGAAGAATATGGTCGTCATCGATTACATCGTTATGGAAATGAAAAAAGAAACATTGACATTCATTACCTAAAAGATTGAAATTACCTGAATATGTGGTTTGACTGATTGATGATGATATTGAAGAAAGAGAATCAACAATTCATGAAACAATAACCACAACGACAAATTCTAGTGAAACTAATAGCACAAATACAACAAAATATGTACCACTTTCGTTAGAAAAATGATTGAAAATACAAGAGAAAAAGAAGAACAAGAAGCAATTTCAAAATTCAATACATCATCTAATATTACAATACTTTCACAATTAACTACAAAATGACTATAATGAAATATCATAAAACATATATGAGAAAGAAAACAAGGCTCAATAAGTCAGTACGAAATTCAGCCCATAGATATTATCTAATGATTTTGGAAATATACTGAAAGTTTCGACAGTAAAGAATGCTCATTTGTCGACAGAAATATTGAATTTCCAATAAAAAGTCACTTGTCACAGAAATTTACTCTAGTAATGTCGAAAAGTAGAAAAGTTGCGATGTGAATCTCGAATAAAAGAAATATAGAAATTAAAATTGTTGAAAAATAGGGTATGCATATCGATAAAGATAAGAGTACTGGAGTCTTCTCTTCACCCACATCAAACCTTGAATATTTATATAAGTCGGCATTCTTCTTTTCAAGCAAAGTAGGATTTACCGTCACAGACATGTCACTAACATCGAGTTTACTTCGAAATTCAATACTTCGACAAAGGAACATTCTTTTTTGGGCTAGAACTTTCAGCATATTGCAAGGACCATTAGACTTATCTGTAGATAATATTGCAGATCGAAACGTCGTTATTTGATTTTCTAGTAAATGCTTAAAAATGGATCGAAGATTCACTAAAACGGCTATAGCTTGGAAGCATGAAAAAAATCATGACTATTTTTCATGTGCATCATCTTGTCGTTAATAAAGCATTATACTGAGCTGAAATCTTTTGTAATGAGTTTTTCGTGCGTAGTTACACAAGAAAAGAAGTTCTAACTTCAAATCTCGTTCTTAGCTAGAGCTAGAACAATTTAGCTATATTTGATGAAGGTCATTTTTGAAAGAATCAGCTGTAAAAATATAATATTTTGTTTGATTTCTTACTACGATAGAACACCACTGAAGAACCTGTAACGTTTTTTGTTTGGAAAAAATGTTTCTTCAGACGGAAAACTGTTTTAATACTTTCAGCTATTTTTGACTTCTCTTACCATCCGAATGTGAAAAATACGTATAGTTTATTGTTGCTACAATGGTAAATTGATTTCTCTGACTTTAGCTTATGTAATACTCGATCAGTCTCCTTGTTGCTAGTAAAAAATTTTTGGTTTCATTTTTTCGGAATCCTTGGGCTCTAGTGGGCACATTCTGGTAGCTCCCTCTTTATTTATCGTTCTTTTTCTGTCAGTGACAACACTAAGCAACACATATCTCTAGATCAGTATTTAATAATGTTTATTTCGATAATTGTTAGATATAATGCATTGATTGACTTTTTTCTTCAGTCGAAATTTGTAACTGAAAAGGAAGGTGAAGTGGTGGCATTACGGTTACGGCAAGTAAAAGATGAAGCTGTTCATCAAGGTAATGAAGAATAACGTAAAAAAATATGCTTCATTCAATAAGGAAGCTGAATAAATAGCTGCAAAAAGATGATCAGATAGATCGACCAAATATTTCAAGTAATTATTTTATGTTTGTTTTATTCTTCTCATTTACATTAGTTTTTTTTTCTTTCGACTTCGAGCAACGTAAGTTAACGATATCAAAGAAAATGAAGAATACTTTTTATTCATGTATTATTTTCTAGAGCTCGTCTTCAATCTGATAGAGAAAAAGACGAAAAACATTGTTATGATGATTGTCATTGATGAAGATATTCCACATGCATTACGATCATCGAATGAAGCTGAACTTGAAAAAAAAAGCATTCTTGATGTTACTAAAACTGCTGGTTATAAGGTAGTTTTGATTTTCTAAAGTGAAAACCAAAACTTTTTTGTTATGGAACTCACATATATTTTCAAAGAAAATATTCAATGCAAGTTTAAATTCAGGCTTTTGCAACTCGCCCCTTAAATGTTAGCGACTGAACATGTAAATATCCGAGTCCAATTTAAAATAGTTATAGAAAAACGGAATATGAAAATGAAAAGCAACAGAAAAATAGAGCGCCAGTGGAAATAAGAAAAAAATTCTGTTTGAAATGCAAAAATAAATAAGATCGATCGTTTCCCTGGCAATCCATTATTCTTGGAAAATAGCGATAATATACTAAAGATTTTTCACTTAACCTATTTTGTGTTAGTATAATGCAGCTAAAGAACACATATGAATCCCACATTTTAACTCCAAAGCAGCTGCGATGACAAGATTTTTTATAGGAACCAACATCAATTCAACGACAAACTATTTCAATTAGTTTACAAAATCGATATGTGATTGGCATAGAATTAATGATTCTATTATGTTTATTTAGCATTTCTTATACCTTTACTTGCTTGAATTCGATCATTATCAACAGTTAATAGGTATGATGATTTTCTTATTCATGGAATAAATTTAAAAAATTTCTTTGAAGACCTCTCGATGTTGATAATGGGTCATATACATTTATTTTGGCACCAACTTATGAATTAGCATAACAAATTGAAGAGGAAGGAATTAAAGTCGGAAAAGTATAAATTTTATATTTATTCAAATGTTATACATTGAATAGTCTTTTCTTATCATAGATATGGGTTTTGAAATTGAGGCTAAATATATTCTTGAATATTTAGCAGTCACAAATAAAAAAAATAGAATAAGGAACTTGTAGAAGATACAAGATAACAAAAAAAAAGAACATTTTTCTTTCTTTGATGTTAAGAGATTTTGCTTCAAAAGATAAATATTGTCAAGCAGTGATGTTTACAGCAACAATGACATCATCTATTTATATTGGTGGAATTGGTAAACCAGCTGAACGTGTTAAATTAATTATTATTATGTATTCATAAAATGATAAACTTAACAAGTTACTTGAAATTCTTGAACTTTTTATAAAAAAACGGTAATTGAATTATTTTTTGTTTATTTCTATTAGGGTGGACAAAGTCAAGAAAGTCGATATTTGATTTTTAGATCAATTAAAACAAGATCAAAAAGATATTCTTGTTGCAAGAGATGTTGCTGATCGTGGTATTAACATAAAAGATGTTTCACTTGTATAAAATTATGATATGGCTAAGACAATTCAAGGTAAACGACAAAAAAAGATTTCATAAGAAAAGAAATAAATATGATTTGAATTATTTTAGATTATATACATCTTATTGATCGTACAGATTATGTAGGCAAAGCGATAAAATTTTTAACAAAAGAAGATTAAGCTGTATTTTATGAATTAAAAGAAGTTATACTTGAATCCCCTTTATCACAATGTCTACCTGAATTACTTAATCATCCTGGTGCACAACATAAACTTGCTTCGATATTTTATTTCTTTGATTTTTCATTAAAATTTTGTGTCTACTTGACTAAAAACGACATTATTTCTTGTATTTGTGTATTGTTGTTAACGAAAAAGGTTTTTTTTCCTTTCTATTGTGTGATGTTTGTTCCTACGACAGAGATGTTCTGCTGCACAATCACATGTCAAATCAAATGTCCTATTGATTTCCTTTTTTTTGTGCTGAAAATTCTATTGAAATTGTTACAACAGATGCAATCATCACTGTGTAATAGTATGTATTAACGTATCTGTTCTGAAGTAAATAATGCTGAACAATTTTGTACATATTTGACCAAAATCTGTACTGATTCCAGTAGTCATTGTGATGATTTACAGAATATTATTGATACAATGTTTAAAAAGAGTTATCCGAATATTTGTGAAATTCAACATCAACATATTATTTATTCTCTTCTAGGTATGATTGAAAAAGATCAATAAAAAAAATAAAGAAAGAAATTAATAATAATAGTGATAATATT